TATTCAGGGAACATTCATCAGGTCTACCGATTCTCTTGTCAGATGTCTGTAGAATATATAAAAATGGAGTTGACATTAGTATGTATTCTGATATCAGAAGGAGTCAATCGCTTGAGTAATGGAGAAACTGATAATACATACATTGCATTAGACCAGAGAGATGTAGAATTGGATGTACATTTTCTTGCATGGTGATGAACTGAGTTGTTTTTGTCTATATATAGAAGGGTTTATTAAATCATCAGACATGGTTTTAGATCTGTAGGTCTTGTGATTTTGTTTACATATTCAAAGTCAATCGAAACAAAAGTTTGTGATCTTTACTTATCATATATAGCAAGTCAAGCAAGGTTGAAATGGAACCCAACATTGAATTTAAAAAGATACAGAAACCTATCATTCTTTTACATCAAAAAGTATTCATTATTGAGAAATTGCTTTCTTAAAAATTGTAAGGTACAATTCAGAAGTGCCTCGTAGTTGCAGGGTGTTTTAGGTGAAGTTAAAGCATGCCCCGCTATGGTATTTAGATAGTGATATACGTACAGTTAAAGGGAGCACTCTTGTGGTAGAGTGATTTACATACAGTTAAAGGGAGCCCTCTTGTGGTAGAGTGATTTACATACAGTTAAAGGGAGCTCTCTTGTGGTAGAGTGATTTATGTACAGCTAAAAGGGAGCCCTCTTGTGGTAGTGTGATTAATGTACAGTTTAAGGGAGCCCTCTTGTGGTAGAGTGATTTACGTACAGTTAAAGGGAGCCCTCTTGTGGTAGAGTGATTTACGTACGGTTAAGGGAGCCCTCTTGAGTTAGAGTGATTTACGTACAGTTAAAGGGAGCCCTCTTGTGGTGGTGTGATTAATGTACAGTTAAAGGGAGCCCTCTTGTGGTAGAGTGATTTACGTACAGTTAAGGGAGCCCTCTTGTGGTAGAGGGATTTACGTACAGTTAAAGGGAGCCCTCTTGTGGTAGAGTGATAAAGGGCAGACAAACTTACGACCTAGATTTTTGATGTGTTTCTGCGAAATTTGATGAATTTTCAATGACACAATTGACAGTCATATAGATTTGTCTGTCTGTGGTGCCACAGTCACAAAGGTAATTTTACAGAGAGCACATATTTCTCATCATCACAAAAAATGGTCATGGAGAGATATAAATGTCAAGAACTATCTAAAAAAGCATGTGTCTGTGGTGTAAATGGTGTGAATGGTGTGAATTGTGAGCATGCAGCCTGTAGTCCATATCAGAAACAGGCGGCATGGTGTCGGTGTTGTAAATGGTGTGAATAGTATGAATTTGTCTATGATGTAAATGGTGTGCACATGTCTGGTGTGAATGGTATGGATGAGTCTGTGGTGTGAATGGTGTACATGTGTCTGTGGTGTGAATGGTGTGCATGTGTCTGGTAAGAATGGTATGGATGTGCATGTGGTGTGAATGGTTTGCATGTGTTTGTAGTGTGAATGGTGTGCATGTGCCTGGTGTGAATGGTAAAGATGTGTCTGTGGTGTGAATGGTGTGCATGTGTCTGTGGTGTGAATGGTGTGCATGTGTCTGGTGTGAATGGTGTGCATGTGTTTGTGGTGTGAATGGTGTGCATGTACCTGTGATGTGAATGGTATGGATGTGTTTGTTGTGTGAATGGTGTGCATGTGTCTGGTGTGAATGGTGTGCATGTGTCTGTGGTGTGAATGGTATGGATGTGTTTGTGGTGTGAATGGTGTGCATGTGTCTGGTGTGAATGGTATGGATGTGACTGGTGTGAATGGTGTGCATGTGTCTGGTGTGAATGGTATGGATGTGACTGGTGTGAATGGTGTGAACGTGTCTGTGGTGTGAATGGTTTGAATGTTAGCAGCCTATAGCTCATATCTGACACAGGCCTCATTGCTATTCTTATTCCTTAATGTATCAAGCCTGATGAAGAATTACAATTCAAGGTGTAGTGTAATAGTGATAAGAGATTTCATAGTTAATTAAAAATGGAGTGTGGTGTGATAGTGATCAGTGATAAACAGGTGGCAGGTGTTACTCTATACGGTTATTCAGGTGACAAGGATTACTATATATAATTATACTAGTGACAGGGATTACTATATATAATTATACAGGTGACAAGGATTACTATATATAATTATACTAGTGACAGGGATTACTATATATAATTATACAGGTGACTGGGATTACTATATATAATTATACTAGTGACGGATTGCTATGTATAATTATACAGGTGACAGGGATTACTATATATAATTATACAGGTGACAGGGATTACTATATATAATTATACAGGTGACAGGGATTACTATATATAATTATACAGGTGACAGGGATTACTATATATGATAATACTGGTGACAGGGATTACTATATATAATTATACTAGTGACGGATTGCTATGTATAATTATACCGGTGACAGGGATTACTATATATAATTACACAGGTGACAGGGATTACTATATATAATTATACAGGTGACAGGGATTACTATATATAATTACACAAGTGACAGGGATTACTATATATAATTATACAGGTGACAGGGATTACTATATATAATTATACAGGTTACATGAGTTACTATATATAATTATACTAGTGACAGGGATTACTATATATAATTATACTAGTGACAGGGATTACTATATATAATTATACTAGTGACAGGGATTACTATATATAATTATACTAGTGACAGGGATTACTATATATAATTATACTGGTGACAGGGATTACTATATATAATTATACAGGTGACAGGGATTACTATATATAATAATTCTAGTTACAGGGATTGATATATATAATTATACAGGTGACAGGGATACTACTTTTTCTGTAAATCTGGTGTTTTACATCCCAATTTTTATTTTTTATATTTTTAGGAACCTGTTTGATCGTACTTTTGGTGAATGTTACTCTAGGTTTTAGGCAAATCACATAACACTTTAATGTAATATAAAAATCAAATAAGGGGCTTGTACCATTCAAATTGCTGGTCGGGTTCATCAGGGATTGTGGGCCTATAAATCAAGTGCAACATTTGTCATGGAACTATTTTTAATTGTTATTATATCTTTGATTCACTCAACTAATTGTTGCTTCTGGTCAAGGGGCGATGAGTTTAGGTGAAGAGATTCTCATTAATCCCGATTTATTTCATTTTGTTTCACATGCACGCTGAAAGCACAAGACAATGTATGGCATTACCATTTCCCAGGGTAGTATTAATAAAAATTATGGTTACACAATTGCATAACTTCTTGTAATTTCAAATTTGAATTTTTTTCAATTTGAAATTCTACAGTGCAGCTTTAGTGAAGATGGAGCTAGCACCTTTGGCCTCATTAATTGCTCCATGTGTAAAATTGGCCCTGATAAACCACCAGTATCTAACATTTCCTCACTTTTCTCAATCATTGCTGAAATATTCTTTTAGGAGATGCAGTTTTTGATTGTACATAATAATATGATGCTGCTCAAGATGATAAATTGTCTTCCTCCTAAACACTTGTGTTTCTGTGCTTAGCAAAGCATGTCATTTTAGAGGGAGGATTTGGGGAGGGGCCGCAGCCTGGCATGGAATTGACTTGATATTAACTTTAAAACTTTAATGTCGCAGACAAAGTATTTTGAGAAATGAGATTAGCAAGAATGAGAAAATTTATGATTGCAGCAAAGACTATTACAGTTGATGACAGATTGTATGGGGAAGTTTTGATGGCTGAATCTGACAAGATGTTAAGGGGAAAGGGGGTAGCAACCCTGGTCATATTGTAATATTGAGAGGCGCTGTGGCTGGCGTCTGGGTATTGAGAGTCTAGGGAAGGACAGAGACAAGATGGGAAGTCAAATTGTCCTGAAAAGCAATAAACTGTAGACAACGCTTCATGAAAGATTTAAGTCATGTTGGTGGAGATTTCACCGAGATATGGGCACTTCCTCTCTTGAGGTTGTCAAAATAACACACTGTGGTGATTGTGTGATTTCTGAGATTCCACTTGGGAATAGTGTTAAAATTGTTTCAAGTTTTAAAAGAATTTTGGTGTTGGGTTATTAAAATGAAGTATTGATCTATGATTTATCATTGTCACTGTTTATTCTCAAACCATAACAACTTGATTGAACTCAGGATTTTTTAATCACTCTTGTAGGACATAATATTTTTTTATGTCTGAAAGCGATAGTAGATGAGGACAGTCATTGATGCATTCCTGAGAAGAAATGAAAATGCCCATCCTATTCATTTATCGATATGTTCTTTATACCATAGAAATATGTAACTGGTGCAATCGTTATGATGATGTGAGTATAAAATCGCTCACTGCATATAAAACCAAAAGTTTAGAATATCAAATATACGTGTTGAATTAGCAGATGGAAAATGAAGTTATCTAATTTTTTTTAGTGTGATATTAAAAAGGTAAAATTCTTTCTGTATCCTTGATTTGTAATGTTGATTTGATCCCTAGGAACCTGGGGGCAAGGCTCCAAAGGGGCAAGTTTGGCAATATTTTGCCTTAAAACCATACTCTTCCTTAAGAGATTGTTAAGGACAATTTCAGTCTGGTTAAAACTGCATCACAGTAGCCACAGTAGCCATTTTGTAACATGATTTTGCAAATTTTTTTCATAAACAACACATGATTTTTGTGATAATTTTTGGGAATGTTAAAAAATTTTTGGACCACTATATTAGGTTATTTAAATGACATTTTGTCTGTGGTCCGTCTGTCCATCCGTCTATCCATCCGTCTGTCCATCCGTCTGTCCATCCGTCTATCCATCCGTCTGTCAATGGATAGATAACTGTTAAGGGCCTTCTTCTTGATTTTTACATATATGGTCAATGTAATTGATAATTATTTAAGATACTGGAGAGAATTGACTTTATGATATAGATTAATTAATTAAATTTGGCTCTTTTCTTCATTGAGATGTATGATATTTGTGTCACATGTTGATTTACTAGCATTGTACTGTTGTTTTGCAGGAAATGAAGGTTAACTGGGCCACCTCGCCGAGCAATCAGCCCAAACAAGACACAAGCAGTAAGTTAGCACTTTATCTAAAAATTTTGAAAGGCTTCAATACTGTCTCAAAGGTTGTATTATTGTCATAGTGGGTAACAGTATTATCAAGGTTATGATATCAGTGTGGAGGGTAATAGTATTATCAAGGTTATGATATCAGTGTGGAAGGTTATGATATCAGTGTGGAGGGTAACAGTATTATCAAGGTTATGATATCAGTGTGGAGGGTAACAGTATTATCAAGGTTATGATATCAGTGTGGAGGGTAACAGTATTATCAAGGTTATGATATCAGTGTGGAGGGTAACAGTATTATCAAGGTTATGATATCAGTGTGGAGGGTAACAGTATTATCAAGGTTATGATATCAGTGTGGTGGGTAACAGTATGCTATACAAATCGCCCTATGTCTGTGGTTTGTTGCCCATCTTATCGACAAAAGATCTTTTTTATCGCTATTTCTTGAAAGTGCTGGACGGATCTTTCTCAAATTTCATTTACGAGGTTAAATGTTCCTCTTGGTCACTAGTTGTGCTCATTTGATTTGGGAGGGATCAAGCAAACAGGCAGCCATCTTGAATTTTTGCAATGAAAGATTTTTATTGCTACTTTGTTAGAAGTACTTGACGGATCTTTCTCAGACTTCTCATATAGGTTCCTCTGCGTACCTCATGCAATTTTGATTTTGGGACTGCTCAGAAAAAATGAAAATAGCCAACAGACAGTCATCTTTGGTTTTGACAAAGAAAGGTTTTTATCATCATTCTTTAGAAGGTCTCCCAGATTTCGTTGGTAAGCTTCCCTGGGTCCCATATGCCCATTTGATTTTTAGACTGATAAGAAAAAAATGGCCAACAGGTGGCCATCTTGAATTTTTGTAATGAAAGTTTGGTATCTTTTAAAGAATAAATAAAGATCAAACATTGGTGGGTGCCAAGATCTCTCTGGGAAATCTTTTTTTTTTAACCTCCTTGTTTTTGTTTGTTTGTTTGTTTTGGGTTTTTTCCCCTGTGTGTTTATGGCTGTTTTCGAAAACATCCATTAAATATTGTACATGTATTTACCTGTGTCACCAGTTTGACGTGGAAGGTGGTGAACATGACAGTTACAAGTGTTTTGCTGTTGATAAGGCTGGCGTCTGTATTGACATAAGAACTTTTAATGATGTAAAGCACGCATGTTGCATGTGAAGTGTAGTGTGACAGCATGGTTACGGCATTTGTCACCAAGTAGACTGGATTGGTTGTGATTACCCCTAATTATTGAGATAAAGGCTATTAATAACGACTGTTATAATGCCACGTGTCTATAGTCCACGCACGACCCAAGGACAACCTAATCCAAGCCAAACTTTAGTCACAATAATTTTCCAACTATCTACGTGATTTTCAAGTTGACTGATGAAAGTCTATAAGGTATAGTGCCTATTGTTGGAGCCTTCTGTATGTTGATTGAATCACCCTGTATGTCTCCAGACATCACTGGCAGTTCTCTTTGTTCATACCTACCTCTTATTTTAAGTTGTAAGTGGCTCCCCCTGGCCTGTACAAGCTGTACATGTCCCAGCCGTGTTTACTGTCTGATTTATGAGATAGTTCAATACTCCCATTAGGTCTCTCATGTTATTCAAGGACGTGGTCCTACCGCTCTGGTGCAAAAGTGCTTTCTAATTGATGGTTATTGAAAGTGTATACAGGATAGGGGTTTTTTTTTCAATAGCAATTACCTGTTGAATAAACTCTGAATTGCATAGCAATTATCAGAATTATAGTAAAGCTTAGGTTTTTTGTCTTTTTTTTTTATTTTTGCAAGACTCTGAGCCCTAAATCTTAAATACTAATTTAAAAGATTATTAACCAACCGACCATGATTAAAATTACACCTGAATAAAAAAGACTGAGCATGATATACCAATTTATTTCTAAGCTCGTATGACATGATTTTAACATAATAAACTCTATATATTTCACAACAATTTTGAAGCAAGTTTTTCCAACTTACATTAATCACTCTTGTTAGCCCGGATGAAAGCGAGCGTGGGGTCTTACTGTGGAAGGAAACTGAAGTACCCAGGGAAAACCCATGTGATTGGGCAGGTGACCCCATACCAGTGGGTTACCATGGCACTACCCAACTGACACAATGTGTCAGTAAGGTTGTAGTGAAGAGTCCATGGGCTGTTGTCTGTCCAGCAGAGGGATAGAGCTCTACTTAAGGCTATAGTTTTATAGGATTTTTAAGATCACAGAGATACATTGTCTTGAAAACTATCAGATTTATGAAATTTATCAAAAGCATTACTAACGCAATGAAGACTTTTTCTTTGTCGGTACTGTGTCTCAGGTCAAAAGTAGACTTAAAGTGCCGACTAGGATTAAGATTAACTTCGGAAATTGATAAAGACTTTTTTAAGATCCAGAAAACCAATGGTCATGTTGCCACCAGGTACCTCAGATATAATGTAAATTTTCATGTGATCTTGAATTTTAACAAGGAGTCATGGAGACGTTAAAAACCTGTCAACCAACCTTTTGAAATTTAGGTATCAAGGATGAAATTACTTAAAAGCAACATCTTTAGCACCTAATAATGCTGAGTGATTGTTCCAGGTTATATCACATAGACCAGTAACATAACATCTTTAGCACCTATCACATAGACCAGTAACATAACATCTTTAGCACCTAATAATGCTGAGTGATTGTTCCAGGTTATATCACATAGACCAGTAACATAACATCTTTAGCACCTAATAATGCTGAGTGATTGTTCCAGGTTATATCACATAGACCAGTAACATAACATCTTTAGCACCTAATAATGCTGAGTGATCATTCTAGTAGTTGTTTCAATGCTTGAAATCATCCAATTTCGCATCTGATTTCATTTTCTATTTATTCCATTTTTTTTTTTTTAAATTAATTTAAATCCCATGAAAGATGCAGAGAAATATGTATTCTTTACAAACATTTTGTAGTTATTGCATAAAGCACTAATTACTTAAAAATATAATTAAATGAGCTTGGAACATGGTGAAAATAATTATTAAACTGTTGTGTGGAGACATTGAACATAACATGGCAGTTTGACCTTTGATGACCCTTGGTAATACAACTTGATTACTTTATGACCTTTAAGATGCCTTGACCTTTAAAACAGTAGCTATTTTACACCAGAAGAGTGGTGCCTGTGTGATCACAAAACAGCAGATCAAAGTGGGGCTAATTTCTGTCTCACTTCTGTTTACTCATTTTGTACCCAATGATTTGCAGAATTTACTTTTTCAATGATTTCAACAAAGAAAATAACTGAGATCTTTCTACCTTCAGACTGTTTAGCTTATCTACCTCAAGAGCAAATGAAGTGAAGCCATTGAACAGCGTTCAGCTTCATTTTGGTATCAACATTGCATTTAAGCAACTTTTCAGTAATCAAAATGCCCAATTAAAGATATTTGGCCAATATCATGCTGGGATAAAGGGATTTTAAGTTTGTTCTTGTGAATGAACTTGACCTATTTTGTAGGTTACAGGGATCAAATGAATTATTTTCAAACTATCTCCTTTTAATGATCAATACTACCTGAGATTTGTTATTTCACCTGAAGGAACTTAAAGTTTGAGATCACCCCAAAATAACCAAATTAAATAATTGCTGTGTAAAGAAGCCATATTGAAAAATTGACAAGAAATCAAGGAAGTGTGTTGATTATCAAATGGCATTGATTAGTCTACCGTAATTACAACAATATTGAACTTCATTCCTGCTAGTATTTCTTAATTTTTACTGATTTTATCTCCTTTTCCATTTCAGAACATTTCCATATATTTGTGGGAGACCTCAGTCCAGATATAGAAACACACCAACTAAAGGAGGCATTTGGAGCTTTTGGGGAAATATCGTAAGTATATGATTGTCCTTGTTGTTGAGTGAACTGTAAACTGACATCATCAGACACAGAAACTTATTTATTGGTGACTAAAAACAATGACGGACGGCTATTAACTACAATTCACCTTTGACATCAAGACACTGGTCTGTGTGGTTTACAGGTAGTAGACACTCTGGTACAGGTCTGTATGGTTGACAGGTAGTAGACACTCTGGTACAGGTCTGTATGGTTGACAGGTAGTAGACACCCTGGTACAGGTCTGTATGGTTGACAGGTAGTAGACACCCTGGTACAAGTCTGTGTGGTTGACAGGCAGTAGACACCCTTGTACAAGTCTGTGTGGTTGACAGGTAGTAGACACTCTGGTACAGGTCTGTATGGTTGACAGGTAGTAGACACCCAGGTACAGGTCTGTATGCTAGACAGGTGGTAGACACCCAGGTAAAAGACTGTGTTGTTGACAGATTGTAGACACCCTGGTACAAGTGTGTGTGGTTGTCAGGTAGTAGACACCCTGGTACAGGTATGTATGGTTGACAGGTAGTAGACACCCTGGTTCAAGTCTGTGTGGTTGACAGGTAGTAGACACCCTGGTACAAGTGTGTGTGGTTGACAGGCAGTAGACACCCTGGTACAAGTGTGTGTGGTTGACAGGCAGTAGACACCCTGGTACAAGTGTGTGTGGTTGACAGGCAGTAGACACCCTGGTACAAGTCTGCGTGGTTGACAGGCAGTAGACACCCAGGTAAAAGACTGTGTTGTTGACAGATTGTAGACACCCTGGTACAAGTGTGTGTGGTTGTCAGGTAGTAGACACCCTGGTACAGGTATGTATGGTTGACAGGTAGTAGACACCCTGGTTCAAGTCTGTGTGGTTGACAGGTAGTAGACACCCTGGTACAAGTGTGTGTGGTTGACAGGCAGTAGACACCCTGGTACAAGTGTGTGTGGTTGACAGGCAGTAGACACCCTGGTACAAGTGTGTGTAGTTGACAGGCAGTAGACACCCTGGTACAAGTGTGTGTGGTTGACAGGCAGTAGACACCCTGGTACAAGTGTGTGTGGTTGACAGGCAGTAGACACCCTGGTACAAGTGTGTGTAGTTTACAGGCAGTAGACACCCTGGTACAAGTCTGTGTGGTTGACAGGCAGTAGACACCCTGGTAGAAGTGTGTGTGGTTGACAGGCAGTAGACACCCTGGTACAAGTCTGTGTGGTTGACAGGCAGTAGACACCCTGGTACAAGTGTGTGTAGTTGACAGGCAGTAGACACCTTGGTACTGAATGTGACTTCTCTTACTGAGGTATGTTTTAGACCAGTGATGTATTGGGCAGCCTCATAAAATGCTAGTTAATAACGTTATTTCCCTTGCTGCTCGTTACGGGAAGCGGGGCTTACTTCATGGTGAGCCTGGGCTACCTACGATATTGAATTGGCTAGATCAACATACATCAGCCGTTGTACTCCTGGGAATTCTCGCTTTGTTGTGTGCTACAAAAATGTGGAATTTGTTAAAAATTTGATGAGCACAAGCTAATTGACTGTAATGAAAGTGAGAGAATTGACAATCACACGGCAGCCATCACCACTAAAAGTAACGTAACACTGCCATACTAATCCATCAGGGTCAAATTTACGTTTGTTAATTGATGATTTGTCAAGAGTATAAGAGATCCATTTGTGTAGACATCTATATATATATATAGGGTACATGTACCATTGTTTTTGTATCTCTTGGCTTTTGTGTCCGTCTAGACCAGACCAAGAAATCTGTTGATAGATAAGATTTTTTTTTTAGTGAATATACACTTTCTGTGCTAGCATACCTTATTTTTGAATGTATCATGTAAAAGAGGCAGATAATAGTAAATAAGCTGTTAGTGTCATTTTTGTTATATCACTTGTCATAGTTACCATATGTAGTCTTGGTTACTTTTGGTTTGTTTGTTGCTGTTTGAATGTATTTGGACTTTAACACTACACTTACAGTTTTAGAGGGACCTCAATTACCTGATTATTATCACGTAAATGAGAAGAAAAAAGGGGCATCTTCAACCATTCTCGAAAATCTCAATATTGATTTCAACAATGGATTGAGTCATTGCAGAAAAGGTTGTTTCAGTGAACCTGATGTCCACTGTTACACAATACATAATATGTAAAGCTAGCTGTTACCCCACACCACATCAAGATCTTATGATGTCCATATTCCTATTCAAATGAAAAGCGGAGCAGAAATGTAAAGATGATAATGTGTGACAAAGCTATCAGTATATTTACTGTAAATATCACTGTTAAATAAAATGCTTACAAGACCAATTAAAAAATGTAATGTTTTGAGAATTCAGTTAAACTTACCTCTTGTGCTCTCACAGTGCAGAGGTCATCAGTGAGGCTAAGGAAGCTCAGTGTAGGGTTTATCAATGAGGCTTGGGAAGCTCAGTGTAGGGTTTATCAATGGGACATTGGAAGCTCAGTGTAGGGTTTATTAGTGAGGATTGGGAAGCTCAGTGTAGGGTTTATCAATGGGACATTGGAAGCTCAGTGTAGGGTTTATTAGTGAGACATTGGAAGCTCAGTGTAGGCTTTATCAGTGAGGATTGGGAAGCTCAGTGTAGGGTTTATTATTGAGACATTGGAAGCTCAGTGTAGGGTTTATCAATGGGGATTGGGAAGTTCAGTGTAGGGTTTATCAGTGAGGCTTAGGAAGCTCAGTGTAGGGTTTATCAGTGAGGATTGGCAAGCTCAGTGTAGGGTTTATCAGTGAGGATTGGGAAGCTCAGTGTAGGGTTTATCAATGAGGATTGGGAAGCTCAGTGTAGGGTTTATTAGTGAGGATTAGGAAGCTCAGTGTAGGGTTTATCAGTGAGGATTGGGAAGCTCAGTGTAGGGTTTATCAACGAGGATTGGGAAGCTCAGTGTAGGGTTTATCAGTGAGGATTGGGAAGCTCAGTGTAGGGTTTATCAATGGGACATTGGAAGCTCAGTGTAGGGTTTATCAGTGAGGATTAGGAAGCTCAGTGTAGGGTTTATCAGTGAGGATTGGGAAGCTCAGTGTAGGGTTTATCAGTGAGGATTGGGAAGCTCAGTGTAGGGTTTATCAGTGAGGATTGGGAAGCTCAGTGTTGGGTTTATCAATGAGATATTAGAAGCTCAGTGTAGGGTTTATCGGTGAGGATTGGGAAGCTCAGTGTAGGGTTTATCTGTGAGGATTAGGAAGCTCAGTGTAGGGTTTATCAATGAGACATTGGAAGCTCAGTGTAGGGTTCATCAATGAGGCTTGGAAAGCTCACTGTACAATTTATCAGTTAGATTTTGAGAGTACACAGTGTAGAAGGGGATCAGTGAGGTTTGGAGTCAGACTAAGTCCTCTAGCATAGCTTTGTGCAGCTATCAATTCATTCCTCTGATATTGTCGACATATGTTTAATATTACCCCATCAATTTTACACAGTTATAGGATTTACTCTGTCTGTGTGCTATCATAGAGAATTGACACAATCCTATCCATCTATGTACATAAGATACACTTAAAATATTGGAAGTGTTTTACTGTTGGTGCCTGGGGACCATTGTGTTGAATATGATGACGGGTAATTAGGTTATATAATGAAGGTCAAAGACATTCTTATTTAATTTACTTCTCCCATTGCCCAGCCTCTGACTCATATTTGGCTCAGAATATCACACTGTATTTTCTATTTAGCTGTACAAAATATATTTTCCATACTATTAAATACAGATAAGGCTGGCTGTTCCATTGACTGTGATGAATAGCAGTTACAGTATGTATTGTAAATGTAGGAAGGTTATCATAACAGCTAAAAGTCTTCATAGGAGGATGCTGTAGAGTGATATCAGTAGGGAGGTAATCACAACAGCTTATGGATGGGATGGGAGGATGTTATAAAGGATATCAGTAGGGAGGTAATCACAACAGCTAATGGATGGGATGGGAGGATGTTATAAAGGATATCAGTAGGGAGGTAATCACAACAGCTAATAGAGGGGATGGGAGGATGTTATAAATTGATATCAGAAGGGAGGTAATCACAACAGCTAATGGTTTGGATGGGAGGATACAAACTTTTAAAAATGCAACTGAATATAGATGCTGTAATCCATGTGAAGAAAAGAGTTGGACTAAAAGGCAGTTACAAAAATCTTGTATATTGCAAATAAATTACTATACAAGTATAAAGATGACACTGGTGTGAACATATTGACTTATTTCTGGCACCATACTGTTGCTGGTAGGACGCGAGACAAGATTTTTCGAAAAGAACAGACATTACATAATTATTAAAAATGTGACATTTACTAGATATGGAAGTGCTTTGATCCTATAAACCATGCTTTTATCAAAGTATTTGAGTATTCACAAAATTACGACTGACACCATATCAAATTCATACAAAAAGAACTTGGAATATTCTTTCAAAAGTAAATCAGATAAGGCCCTTAGAGAGATGGCCAAACTTCGGTTTCAAAACTTCGAAATCAAATGTCCCATACATCCACAAAGGACCAAATTAACTATATTCCTATAATCTCAAAGTGGTGATTCTTGCTTGGTACTTACAGGGGAAGTGAACATGGCTCAGACACAGAGTTTTCTGAATGTGATTGTAGTCAATAAAATTGCTGGTGACCTTTTGGAAAATTCCTATCTTAAACCTGCCAGGTTTGCATGTCATATTTTCCAGAAGGGCATCTTGCAATAATAGTGACTATAATTGTGTCTAGAAATGGCTTTATTATTTATATTATAAATATTAATTGGGTATCTTGCTATAATGAGCAAAAAACTTCATCTCATACAATGAATAATGGAAACAGGAGAAACATGGAATTAATGGCAAGAGCATTGTGACATCATGATACAGTAGGACCAGTTGCAATTATAGTCTTGTAATTACATTGGCTGTGTATCACTTGGAATGGGACAGTGGTAGGGAAAGTAAGAATATAGCTTTTTACCTACCTAGGACACTAATAACAACAGGAT